TATCTACAAGCACCGCTAATCCCCATTATCAAAGCCACTTTCATCAACAAGTACTCGTCATCGGGAACTTTGTTCAAAAACTTCTCTATTTCAGGTCGTTCTAATGTCTTGGACTTCTTTGGTTTGTATCCCTGTGATTTGCTTTTCAAGAAGCTCGTTAGTTCACCATATTTTGAAATGTCGATTTTTTAATAGAGGTGAATAGTCGAGCGACGATAGGGCTAATTTTTTTTTGCAAATGTGAAAAATGAGCAACTAGCACGTTTTCATCGATACCTTTTATCTTCCGTGAATTCATCCAAGACTCAAACATTTCGAACTCCTTGTCGTAAGCATCTCAGGGATTTTCTGGCAAAATCTGCATCGCTGCTTCTTCCGATTCCGTAAGGATATCCTCAGGAACGTAATTTTCATCGGTTTCCTCCATTTTCTATACGATTTTTGTTCTTCGAAAATTTTTTCTCTTATTGCAGGGAAAACTGACAAGTGTCAAAATTCATTTGAACATTTGCTAACAATGTATCATGCCGTGGCAACCTAACAAACAACCAAAATGTAAAAAAGTCACTGTCAAGTAATTCTGACATTCATAGGGTACTGAGACGCAGGTAGCGTTGATTTGATCACAAAACTTATTAATTATTTTCTCATGAAAAAATGATTTCTTCCACTTGTTGGATGAAACATTGTATGCCACTCTTGTGTTATGTTTCCTAAGTCACTTGAGAATTTATACCACTCGGCCTAACATAACACACTAGTACCATAATAGTATATTATGTAACAAGTGTTATAAACGTCCTTTTAGTAACGAGTATTTTGAGCACGAGCGGAGCAGAGCGGAGCGAGTGTTTAATAAACGAGTGTCTAGAAGAGTTTATAAACGCGTTACATACTATGCTTTTTCTACGAACTCCGAAAATTACATTGAATTACCTGCTATTCCTGCTAACCTACAAAATAATTCGAATGGAATGGGAATTGACAACATAATACATGCAACTGCATGCAACCAGCGAGACACGTATAAGTGATATTGGTTGTAGATGTGCCCAGTCCATTGCTTACTAACCTTTGTTTCATGTTTATTGTCATGCTTAGCGCAGAATAAATAAATTGTTCTCAAAGATGGATGCTTCATTTTTACACTTCTTGGAGATATGCAAGTACCAGAACATTCTCTTCGATTTCACTTTCGTCTACATTCCGAATATATTTTTAATGAAGAATTCGGATACAAACGAATATTGTTTGAATAATTCTGATACAAAATATGAAAATCACAATTGACAGTTAATACAATTGACAGGCCAGACATGTCTCAAATTACTGAAGCTGTGTTTAATGAACTGCGTTGCCATGGTAATGTGTTTAAGAAATCGTGTTGCCATGGTAACGTGTTTAATATTTGGAATAAATCACAGATCGACAATCCGTGATTAATCGATCATTTAGCGTGGTACATATCCGTACGATAAATGCCATTTTAGTTATGTGAGTTGAAAAATAATTATTATGTTTTACTTAGTTAGGTACTCGTCATAACATACCAAGATTTTCAGTTTCCGATGACAATCATGATCTGGATCACCATTGTTACTGAGGTCGGTGATATAGTAATAATCAGCCCCTTCGATGATGTTTTTTAGAGATAGAGTAACTACCGTTCAGTAGCATTTAATTTTTTTTCGTTCTTTTTTTTCAACGTTTCACCTGTCCTGAAGAGCATAAAATTGTATGTACACTTCGAGACTAAAGTGTTTTTAAACCGCTCTACAAATTATAGCTTTTTGTCTAGAGATTTGAAATACCAAATCATTCCCTAGTTGTATAATGTACTATTATTCTAATTAGACATCCTAATAAACATAATATACATACAGGGTAACATTTTGAAAACTTGCCGCCCTTAATATCTTCCTTCCAGTGAATAATATGAGGATTCGAAAAAACAGGTCGATTTTATTTTCAAGGGGTACACTTGAAATTATGAGTTTTAGTCCTCTTGGTTCAACACCCTAGGAGGGGAGATTTACCCTTAGAATCTCAAATGGGAAGGGGGGTCAAGTGGCATATCATTTTGAAGGGCGTTCAATTCTCTTTCCAATGGTACCCTAGTGTATCATTCTTTGTTGAACAGTTTTTGATAAATGCCGTGTCACTTAGAAAACTCCCCACTCTTAATATCTTTCTTTCAGTAAATGATATGAGAAATCGAAAAGATACGTCAAATTTATTTCTGAGGAAGACACTTAAAATGCATATTTTTAGCCCTCTTAGTTCAACCCCCTAGGAGGGGTAGATGTAACCCTTGAATCTCATATGAAGATGCACATTATTTTGAAGGGCATTCAAGTCTCTTTTCAACAATTCCCAAGTTTTTCAATTTTTGATGAGCAGTGTTTTTTTATGTTCTGGTTCCCACGAAAAGGGATATCCTGTAATGTTCAGAGAACAAGGTAGGATTTCTTCTTGAATTTCTCGATGTTATATGCCTCGAGGAACACCTCCCTTGGCAATGTATTCCAGAGCCTCGCTGTTCGTTGGATGAACGAGTTCTTGCATGTCTGTTCTGTTCTGCAGGTCTCCAAAGTGACCACGAAGGGGTGCAAAACCTCAACTCGACGGGTTAATCTCACGGGGACTGCCAAGGGAGGAACAATTTATAATATTTCAGAAGAGCATCCCATCGTCCATGAAAATATCTATAATATAGAGCCACATCGCCAACTTTTCTACGGTGTTCTAGAGAAGTGAGTGAGTTTGTGAGCGAGGCCTCACCCACGAGACGTATTGCCCTTTTTTGGACAGAATCCAACAGTTTCAGGGTTTTTTTGGGTGCTGCACTCCAAATATGGGAACAGTATTCCAGGACAGGTCGGATCTGCGCCTTATAGATCATAAACAGCTGACTGGAATTGAAATAGCTCCTGGCCCGAAACAGAAAACCAAGTTTTTGGGATGCACTTTTAGCAATTGATCTCACGTGATTCTCCCAAGAAAGATTGTTGCTGATAGTAATACAAAGAATCGAAATGGATGTCTTCAAAAGTACGGTTACTCCTGACAAGTTTATGTTGGGCACAGTGAGATCGGCTTTTCTAGAGAAGAAGCATGCTTGTGTTTTGTCTGCATTGAAATCTACCAAGTTATTGGATCCCCATTCGAGAATTGTTGCCAAGTCCATATTTATGTTGTCAACATTTCTTACTCGTTCGTTTCTGATTTGCCTGGCTGGTATTGGAGCCCTGGAAGAGAAAGCGGTATGGAGGGTACTATCATCCGCGAAGCTGTGTACTGGGCATGAAGTTGCTCCCAAAAAATCGTTGATATGGAGTAGAAATAGTGTTGGTGCTAGAATTGATCCTTGCGGAACACCACCAATCATGATGAGAGAGTCAGATGAAACTCCGTCGACCACTACATGGAGAGACCTGTTTTAGAGAAAACTAGCTAGCAGAGAACATAGCTGGGGAGGCAAGCCATAAGATGGGAGCTTGGCGAGGAGTCCGTGGTCCCAGACTTGATCGAATGCCTTGGAGATATCAAGGGCCACGGCTAAGGTTTCACCATATTTTTCAATAGATTGCTACCATATATGTGAGACGTAAGCGAGCAGGTCACCAGTTGATCTCTGATGACTGAAGCCATATTGTCTATCGTTGGTAATACCTGAATGTTCCAGGTATTCCATGAGCTCGATGTTGATAGCTTTCCCCATGATCTTTGAAATAATAGATAGCAGTGCGATCGGTCTGCAGTTGCTAGGTAGGCTCTTTTTGCCTTTTTTAGGAACTGGTTGTACTCTTGCAATTTTCCAGTTGGACGGGAATATCCCCAATTTGTAGAAGGAGTTGATCAACTTGCAGAGAACAGGTGTCAGTTCAGAAGCACATTTCTTGAGAACAATCGGTGGGATTCCGTCGGAGCCACAAGCTTTGTTGGTGTTGACACCCAATAAAATCTTCCTTATAGTACGGTGGCGAAAGGTGATCTCGGGCATATGACTGTCAATTGGCGTTATGTTTGGAGGTTGTTTTCCCGATGAATCCAGAGTGGAATTTCCAGCAAATAGATGCGCAAAAATGTTGGCTTTCTCCTGGGCAGTTGGGGCTAGTGTTCCATCTTCCTTGGTTAGAGAAGGAAACGAGCTGGAAGTGAAGTTTCTTCCTACAGTTTTGGCGAAGGACCAAAATGAACGGGATCCGTTAGGACATTCAACAAGTTTTGATCTTATTTTGGCATTATGAGCATCCTTTGATGATCAAATTGTCTCCTTGCATATGCATAGCATTTCCGAAGAATGCCATTCTAAATTCACAACAGTAATCAGAAATTGCCTGGTTTTCAGGTTTATTGATTCTCCTTCCAGTCCAAATGGTAGGGAGATTTTGAATGCATCTCAGTGCAGGCATGTTCTTATTACATCCGTATGTTTAGAACGGTATTTTTCGGAAACTGCTAATCAAAAAATTATAAACTAGGGTACTGTTGGAAAGAGAATTGAATGCCCGTTAGAATTATAGGCATCTTGACTTCCTTTCCATATATGGTTTTGAGGGTAACCCCTCCTAGAGGGTCGAACCATCAAGAGGGCTAAAAATATGGATTCAAAGTGTCCCCCTTGAGAATGAAATTGACCAATCTTTCCAATTTTTTGTATTATTTACTAGAAGGAAGATATGAAGGAGGAGAGGTTTCCTAATTGACACGGAATTTCTTGTTTTGATCGTTGAACTTGAATTTATTAAAATATACAGGGTGTTCCATTCAAAAAAACAAAGTTGCTGGCATTTCCAGAAACACTGGAAGTCTGCAATATTGGATTGTAATGTGATCAAATCCGAATCAATAACTGTACCAAAAAAATCCGTCCACGAATGCAGAAGTTACAGGGGTGGCTCGATACGCTGTGTGACCCGGTAGATGGGATCCGTTTGAATTGAGACACGCCGTATGTTTGATTATTTCCTATAAATTAATGAAGACATTCATTTCAGGCGGTTTTACTGAATATAAGCGATGGTCCAATATTGGGAGGAACTGATAGGACTGTGGACAACAATGAGATGTATTATTATTTCCGGGGCATTCCATATGCAGAACCGCCCATAGGGCATCTTCGTTTTGAGGTGAGTTTAATAATAATACATAATGTGTAAATGTAGATCTCATTCTCTATCATTTTTTGTAATCTCAATTGAAACATGATTTCTAATAAAGAGGCATAGTAAAAAAACTCGTAACAAATTGTGCATACAGTACAATATTGGTAGATAATACTCGAATTCAAGATATTGGGGCACTTAGAGCTCTGCACGGGCCCAGCCAACCCGCGCGTACATAGGCCTGGCCAACCTGCGCACAAGAGTCTCGAGATCATACCCGTGTGTTCACCGAACACGCCCGATCGTTCCCTAAGCGGTGGGGAAACGTAAACGGGCAGCAGTAACTACGTTATGAATATTGGCGCGTGCCTGAATTATTTTGGAGTCAAATTTGTCAATTTAATGAACTTCGAAACGGAACACTAGTAGTTGTGCCTTCTTGTTTTACATATATTATAGGTAGACATCAAATCAATAAACATAGTGCTCTCGCCATCGGTATTTGCTGAACTTCGCTATGGGAAAAATGTTGAATAACTATATTGGGATGAAAAGTGTTCTATACAGGGTGTATCTAAATAACACCGAAATAATTCAAGGGATGATTCCTTGTGATATAATATGATGAATAAAGGTCATATAAACATGTGTCCTAAACTTGCTCTGTTTTCGAGGTACAGGGTTACGTCCTGATTTCGAATCCGAAGTGATTTTCAACCTATCTTGCCTCCTAATATCATTTTCCGGAAATGTTGGTGGGTCCATGACCAGAGCAGTGTTTTTCACTGAAGATTACCTCACTTTGGTCATAGTTGGTATATATATCTATCGCTCCTTAAAATTGAACAGTTACGTTAGATATACACGGGTTGATATTCCATTATAGAAGTGATATGCACACTGTTTATATTTTTAAATACATCCAGTGGGATTGAATTTTATTTTATGTTGAATATTAGAGTGTGTTTTTTTATGTGATATATTTGTTTTGTTTATTTCAAATATATATATTTTTTTAGTAGGCATACTAGTACTTCTTTTATATAATTCTGAAATCTGATCCACCCTGTATTTGTTTCAATTAAATGGCATCAGTAGATAGTAAATAGTATGTTAGGATAGGGACACATGTAAGCCATTTTGACAAATCAATATAGGTATTGTATAGTTTCGATACAAAAAAAATCTCGATTTTTCACATTCTACGTATAGGTATACCTTGAGGTGCCTTGAGCTTGATCAACGAAATCATAGCTCAATTAGAAGAATCGGAAAATGTAATAAAATATAAGGTGTTCCATTTTGAATAACAAAGCTGCTACTACTATACTACTAAGTACTACATAACTACTAATAATAATTTCTAGTGAAGCAGATGAACATTATCGAAAATAATTTGAATAAAACGAGCGTCCTCGCCAACAAAACATAAGCATATAATATGTACATATAGTTTCATGATTTTCGATGAGTGGTTCGCTATTCACATGTAGGACTCGTCGTGACATAGCGAATTATTGCAAATCAAATCATCGCTTTCATTATCTGATAGGTCGCAGTAGATCACTTGATGCCTATCAAATGTTTCTTATTTATTCGAAAAAAAAAAATGTTGAAATGTGATCAAGAAAACTGTTGGTGGCCCACACCGTACTACAAAAACAAAGACAGCATGAGAGAAGCTGCCTGCCCACTCATTGTATCATGACTGCCTGCTGGCCTGCTTACGTCTCGGTCTCCCCACCGCTTAGGTAACTAGTGAGCGACTAGAGTCTAGCCATAGCACCAGTGCGAGAATATTGCGCCTGGTGCGCAGGTCGCTGGGCGCGAGAAACAGAAAATTTCGTTGCTTGCTCGCTCGCTCGCCGAGCGCGAGAAGCGAGGCGAGAAGGGTTGCGGCCGTGCGGCGCGGGACAAATATTGGAGCGAAACAATAAAGATCATCATTGGTAAAAGAATACCCAATACCCTTAATTGGCGGCGAATCATGTATCACGGGAAGGAGATTTGTTGGTTGCCATTCGAACTGTTTCCAGAATATGTACTCATTTATCGTTTGACCTCCAAGTCTAGCGTTTCACACTTTAAAAATGCAATCGAACTGTTGTGCAGAATGTTCGAAAACATTCAGTTCTTTTCAAAATCTCAGAACTCATTGTTTGAAGTTACATCCAACAAAGGTAGCCCCGTCGAAGAAAAGTGAAAATGTGTTTTCCTATGATAAATGTGGACAACAGTTTATAAATCAGAGGGAGTTAAAAATTCATACAAAGAAATGTAACAATTCATCTACAAATACTATGAAAGAAACAGGTAATTCCACTTGTCCAATGTGCAGTGAAAAATTATTGAGTAAACAATTCGAGAGACATTTGGAAATTTCACATGACTTAACGTTGGTTAAAGAAAATATTGAATTTCCATCTTATGAAAAATATATCGAATGGAAAAATGATATTGAACAGAAAGAAGGAGAAATTCCATTTTAATAATTGTTCCTATTTCGAACACACTTTATATTTTAGGAATATTTTGAGTTTGTTTTTGTTTATCAAATATACCTAAATTTTAAACTGTGTATCTTTTACCATTTTCAATATATTTAATTTAGATCGCTGCGATATTATTTTTGCAAGGGAAGGGGGAATTTTTGTGGAATTATATAATTATATATGTATATACCCAGATAGCACACACAAGTACCTTCTCAGAATATTATACGAATATTTTCTAGGAACGGTCTATGGATATACAAAGAGGGCTGTTCTAGATATTCTGAGAATGTTACTGGTAGGTATATTTATAGTAATAAAATTTAAAAAAGCTTGCTCCGGTGCGGGCTTGCGAACCTACATAGTTATTTACCTGTCACCTTAACCACTGAGCTACAGACCTTTTTAATGAATGATATATGAATGGGAAGATCTCAACACTTAGTGGCATACAACCATTATAATAATGGGTTTGGTAAGGGGAACACTTTGTATATCAATACATGAATAATAACATCAATTTCATAATTTGATACGATTCTACTGTATATTCTCAGAATATTCGAAAAGAATATTCTTGTGTATTTATGTCAAATTGAATGTTCATAGAATATTCGTTGCAGGATGAAAATATTTTATGATCATTTTAAGGACATTATGTTAGAATATTCTGAAATAAGTATATTTGAACATTGTCATTCTAGAATATTCCATTTCAGAAGCTCATTGGAACATATTTTCAGAATATCATTAGTATATTCGCAAAGTATTCCATGAATGTTCACAATATTCTGAAAATATTATTTAATGAACATTCTGGAATATTATATCCCAGGAGCTTCTAGGAATGTACTTTCATGTAATACTATCAGAATATTCGCATGGAACATTCCATAAATATTCGCAACATACTGAGAACTTTCTATGCATATTCTTCAGAATATTATTCTAGAAGATGACATTTTCGCAGCTTGTAAGAATATTCTGAGAATATTCGTGCTATCTGGGGATATATATATGTAATAATTATGAACAGTACAGTGTTTTAATTCAATTTGAATAAATTGATTTGAGGTGTGTCACGATTCTAGGGATCACCCTGTAACATGGTATCAACTAGGAAAGCAGTTGTCTAATGTATCATTTCACAACAATGACTTATTTGTTTTTGTTTCGCTGCAATTTCTCGCGCCTAGCGAATAGAGTCTCGAGATCATACCCGTGTGTTCACCGAACACGCCCGATCGTTACCTAAGCGGTGGGTTTTTGTAGTACGGGGTGGGCCACCAACAGTTTTCTTGATCACATTTCTACTTTTTTTCTTTCGAATAAATAAGAAACAATTGATAGGCATCAAGTGATCTACTGCGACCTATCAGATAATGATAGCGATGATTTGATTTGCAATAATTCGCTATGTCACGACGAGTCCTACATGTAAATAGCGAACAACTCATCGAAAATCATGAAACTGTATGTACATATTATATACTTATGTTTTGTTGGCGAGGACGTTCGTTTTATTCAAATTATTTTCGATAATGTTCATCTGCTTCACTAGAAATTATTATTAGTAGTTAGTATAGTAGTAGTAGTAGTAGTAGCAGCTTTGTTATTCAAAATTGAACACCTTATATTTTATCACATTTTTTTATTCTTCTAATTGAGCTATGATTTCGTTGATCAAGCTCAAGGTATACATTCGTAGAATGTGAAAAATCGAGATTTTTTTTTGTATCTATATAAACTATACAATACCTATATCGATTTGTCAAAATGGCTTACATGTGCGATGTCCCTATCCTAACATTTTATTTACTATCTACTGATGCCATTTAATTGAAACAAATACAGGGTGGATCAGATTTCAGAATTATATAAAAGGTACTAGTAGGTATGCCTACTAAAAAAATATATATATTTGAAATAAACAAAACAAATATATCACATAAAAAAACACACTCTAATATTCAACATAATATAAAATTCAGTCCCACTGGATGTATTTAAAAATATAAACAGTGTGCATGTCACTTTCTAATGGAATCAACCCGTATATCTAACGTAACTGTTCAATTTTCAGGAGCGATAGATATATATACGAACTATGACCAAAGTGAGGTAATCTTCAGTGAAATACACTGGTCGGGTCATGGACCCACCAACATTTCCGGAAAATAATATTAGGAGGCAAGATAGGTTGAAAATCACTTCGGATTCGAAATCAGGACGTAACCCTGTACCTCGAAAATGAAGCAAGTTTAGGACACATGTTTATATGACCTTTATTCATCATATTATATCACAAGGAATCACCCCTTGAATTATTTCGGTGTTATTTAGATACACCCTGTATAGATCATTCTCCATCTCAATATAGTTATTCAACATTTTTCCCATAGCGAAGTTCAGCAGATACCGATGGCGAGAGCACTATGTTCTTGATGTCTACCTATCCTATAATATAGGTATGTAAAACAAGAAGGCACAACTACTAGTGTTCCGTTTCGAAGTACATTTAATTGACAAAGG